GACGTGCGTGCATCCGCTTGCGTCCCATCCAATTCTCGCGTACTCGTTGCTCGCCCATTCGTGCGCATCAACGGCCGATGTGCACTTTTTGCGTTTTAGCCCTCCAAGTCCACTAGCCTCTCCGGTCACAAACTCCACTTCCGTATCACCCGTGCACGCTGCGCGCTGCACGCGGCAGGCTGCTGGCCGAGCCCAGCCGACTGCCGGTTCGGTCGGACCGCAGTCCGGTCCAGACCGGTTCAGACCGGCTGGACCGGTTCAGTCTCATTTTAGTCCGGTTCGTTTCATGTTTAAGTGTTCAGCCCGGCCTATAATTTTAAGGACATTTTCAGTTAAATTTCCGGGATTATTTCAGTTCAGTAAATTCATGTCCGATCAGTTCATGTTAAGTTCAGTTCCGGTTATTCCGGTTAAGTCTAAATATCATGTCAGGTTCAATAGAGCATCTTAACGAAATTAATCAGTTAAGTTATCAGTCTGAGCATAGTCATTTGTAATTGTTTATATTATTTTCAGTTTGATCAGGCATCAGCACTACCGTTCAGTTCAGCAGTTCAGGTGGGGACTCAGACTACGTACTACATTGATTATAATTACGGTACCATGTTTGAGGTATGTATTTCAATTGAGGTATCCGCTCAGAATGGTCGCCGGTCCATTCTGGGTTCTAGTGGCCCTAGTCTGCCCACTAGAGTGTTCACATGGTGTCCGGCTTTGCCGGCAGATGAGGTAACGGTCAGGGTCACTTTTGAGTGACGATTTCAGGGTCACGGTTGCGTGACAATTTCAGATTCATGTTTATTACCGGCTTGAGGTTGAGGTTATGTATATACTGATATCATGATGTTGTTATTATTTTCGATGTTTTACATTAGTATGAGTTTCCACGGAGCACAGTGCCATAGTGCTCACTCCCCAGTTTTATCATGTTTTTCAGGTCAGGACGTCGGGCCGGGAGCATGAGCGTGACGTGACGGGGACTTCAGGATATTTATATTTTGGACTGTATAACTATGATGATGACTTACGCTTCCGCTTATGATATTTTGATGACTTCTGACGATGTTTTTGATGACTTTTGACGTACTCATTTTGACGAACTTAACTTTTGACGAACTTTTGAGAACTTATGATTTCAGTAACCGGACGATTTTATTAAAATTAAAATAACGGTTTTCTAAGATAAGTCATGATTTTTAAAGGAAGCACCCCGAATCAGTTTTCGCAAAATAAAAAGATTTTATAACTTTGCGAAATTTTGCGCTACTCTGATTTTACGATAAGGAGGGGTGTTACAGTACACGTTTAAGAAAGTCGAGAAAAATAAAGGTAAATTGGGGCAAGTACGAAAAATGTAAGTAACGTCTCCGGAAAGACTTGTTTTTGAACACGGCACCATAAATTTGATGTGGATAGCATATATTTATCGCCCCATCGTGTTTTGAAGCAAAATGGCACACGTTTAAGAAAGTCGAGGAAAATAAGGGTAAATAGGGGCATGAACGAAAAATTTAAGCAACGTCTCCAAAATGACTTGTTTTCGAACACGGCACCGTTATTTGATGTGGATAATATATATTTATCGCCGCATCGTGTTTTGAAGCAAAATGGTACATGTTTAAGAAAGTCGAGGAAAATAAGAGTAAATAGGGGCAAGTACGAAAAATGTAAGCAACGTCTCCAGAAAGACTTGTTTTCGAACACGGCACCATTATTTGATGTGGATAATATATATTTTATCGCCCCATCGTGTTTTGAAGAAAAATGGTACATGTTTTAGAAGTCGAGGAAAATAAGCGTAAATAGGGGCATGAACAAAAAATTTAAGCAACGTCTCCAGAATGACTTGTTTTCGAACACGGCACCGTTATTTGATGTGGATAATATATATTTATTGTCGCATCGTGTTTTGAAGCAAAATGGTACATGTTTAAGAAAGTCGAGGAAAATAAGGGTAAATAGGGGCAAGAACAAAAAATGTAAGCAACATCTTCGGAAAAGACTTGTTTTCGAACACAGCTCCATTATTTGATGTGGATAACATATATTTATCGCCCCATCGTGTTTTGAAGCAAAATGGTACACGTTTAAGGAAGTCGAGGAAAATAATGGTAAATTGGGGCAAGTACGAAAAATGAAAGTAACGTCTACGGAAAGACTTGTTTTCGAACACGGCACAATAATTT